TGTAGGAATATTCCCAAACACACACGGTTCAAGAACACTGTCTCCAGTCTTTGGGGCAGCACCAAGCAGTGTTCCCCATTCTTCAAGCAGAGCTGGCTTTTCATACTGTCTCCCTTTTCGATGGCGACAGGCAGAGCAGGAAGGCAACAGCTTCTCTAAAATCTCCTCTCTGACCAGCAAGCAACCGCAGGGGCTTTGGTTTTCCGGGGCTCTCTAGCCTGGACTCTTCCCTTTCTCTGTCAATTATTTAGCATAAAGGCATTCAAGCAGGTACAAACCATGGCTGTGCTCCAAACGAGAATTAGAGCAGCTCAGCCTAGATTTGCAAACGTTTTGCAACTGCTTGTTCAGCCAGCTTGGAAATATTTGTCTTTTGTGTCAGGACTTGCAGTACTTGAATATGCAGCACAGAACTGCTCATATTCATGTAGACACCACAGATACTTTATTTCCAATGAATGAAACAAATGTCATTAACACAGAAATCAGTTATCAGTTCTGATGGGAACTACGCACGGATCTGAGCCAAGGATACAGTCACGTAAAGGCTGACGATAACGTGCCGTTAGCGGGCTCTGCACGGAAGTGATTTTAATCCCAGAAACAGAAATCGTAACTTAAAAAGCTTCTCAATATATCCTGTATCTGTCTATAAGTACCTTTAGCCTGTACAGTAAGAACATGTTAAAACTATGACAATATTTAACTCTCTCCTCATGTGCTCCAGTCCCTGATTACCTGGGAACCCTCTGCTGAACTTCTGCCTCGAGACGTCAACGTCCGTCTTTACTGGCGAGCCCAAAGCTGTAGCCAGCCCTCAATTCCACTCCCTGCGCACCCTCTGCTCCTAACTAGCACCTCTTTCTCAGGAGGTGAATTCCAGGAAACGGAAGAAAGCACAGATGAAAGTCAAGCACTGCATAAGAGGAAAATTTGTTACTTTCAGCCAGGTATTTCTATCAGCACACCTCAACCCTGCTCTATGAACCCAAAACATTCAGCTTTTCTTGACAACCAAAAATCCACACCAGTGGCTCATGGAATCAATCCCTTCAACAAGATGCAAAGAAAAAGAAAGATGGACTCAAAGCTTTAAGAAACAATGGTTGCAAAGCTAGTGTGTTAATTCAATTTTCCTGGGATACTTAGATGGAATCTCAAAGCAATTGAGTCTAAAAAAAGTCCTCTAGTCCTTTAAAGACCCCACATACCAGAATCCTAAAACCTGCCAATTATCTGCCTAGCTGATACAGGAGGCAGTCCCTCCAATGCTGCCTTGTGGAGAAACAATCTCTTATCTATTTCTACTTTGCAACACATAATACCCTCAAAAATGCTCTGCTGCACCAATGGAATAAAACTACTTGTTTCAGTTTAATTGCACATTTTGCATACATTCCAAATTTTCAGTTGAAAATCATACTAGTTATCTGACCCTGAAGACACGAACCAAAGAGAAGAGTGGATCCCTCTCTGCAGCACTTCACAGGGAGCAAAATCTACGAACACATTTATTTAAATTTGCTATATTAAGCAAAAAACCAAACAATAAACCCACGTCTTCTAGCGAGCGGAATACTGGTGATGATGATATTAAACTAAGTTATATTCTTTTATGTTTATGATGTAATTAAACATTCAGGGAAGCTAGAGGCTTTCATTAAAGTTTGGGATTGCTAGATATAAGTCAGTAAAATAAAGATGTTGATCTTATTTTTGTTATGGTGAGCCTGAAAATCTTCACTGTGGACTACGATTCCACTCAAATAGAAAAGCCTAAGAGTCCTGGTCTACAAATAGAAAGTTATACGACGAGCTCTTATTATATTATCAAAACACTGTGTAAAAAGCTTTGTGCACCAGATATATGCAGAGGGCACATCTGAAACGGAAGCTACTTACTCCTCGTACTTGAGGCGTCACCGTTGGTTAGGAGCTCAGGATCCACCTGCATCCCGTCTAGACAGACGGACAAATCTCCGACCGTTTCTGCTGGTTCTCTGTCACCAACAAGATGCAACGTCACCACTACCTGCTCCACTGAAAAAGCACAGAGAAGTTCATCTTAGGTGACAAAAATGCATTTGACTCAAGAAGCCAATCACAGACCACAGCGATCAAGGGAAAAACTCGAAGCCAAACCCAGAACTACGGCTCTGTCTCTCCAGAATTTAGGTTTTGTTTGATCCAACGTATCAACATGTTGCATTTACAATGCCCACATCCCAAAGTCTGGAAGCAAACACTGCTTTCAAGGACAGAATACAAGTATGAGGGCACAAAGCTACACACTGCAGCAATGCAAATTCTGTAACGGGTGTGTAGAATTCTGTATTTCACTGCCTAAAGCCTAACTAGTTGTAATACAACAGATCCCTGTAACACTGTTTAGATCAAACATAACTATGTGTCCTGGTCTGGCACCAGGAACATACTGCAGTTTTCATTTTTAAGCTCTATTAAAGGAAACACTCTTCTTTAATTAGGCTTTCGCCTTGCACATAGTAGCAAAGTGAAAACCACCACGTTTTCAATGACACCGCAGCAGACTGTGTGTAACAAAAAAAAGATTAGTAGGAGGAAGCTCATAAATGCCATCTGTAGCAACAAAAGAAATTCTTAAGGGGCACGCAGCACTCGGGAAGAGACACCTCCCGACCAGTCCCGCAGCACTCCAAGGTGCCGTTAATCTGGTACTTACGTTTCATGCTGTTTGATTTCAAAGTCTCATGAATATCCAGTGCAGCGCTTCCCAGAAGGACATCAGACTTTAATGTTTGATGGCTCCAGACTCGAAAGTTTAATTTACTTAGAGGAGTGACAATTCTGAAAAGAAAAAGTTGAGCACTGTGTCAGGGCATTTGTTGGCAGGGGAGTGGGTGAACTGAGCACTTGACTTGAACTGTCACTTAAAATCATTTAAAAATCAAAGAAATAACGGTGGTAACATGAAACCATTTCTAATTTTCATGTTCGGGTATGCAGTTTATATATCACGTAAATCAAGAGTTTTGCAAGACTAAGTATATTTTTATTATTATTATTATTTTAAAGGATCTACAGAAAAATTAGCAGCTCACAATTAGCATCCAAATGTAACCAGGATGAGAAAAAGACTGGCTCTTGCAGTTCACATTTCATGAATGTTCAGCATTTGCATACACCTTGATGTGAGAATCTGTCACACAGAGAGGCAAGACAGCAAATTTGCTTTCTGAAGAGTTTTTTAAGACCTCCCATAAAACCAGAAGTACTCAGAAATATTTAAAGTACTTTTAGAAGATGCCTGTTCCTCTACCAAGCTGGCACACACATCACACTGTGACAAAGCAGCAGCAACATACACAAAATTTAACGTTGTGCTAGAATACTCCTGCCTTCACAACGCATTTACAGAGAACAGAGCGCACGGGATCTCCTTTCATGGCTGAAAACTCAAAAACTCCCCTCCTCATCTCCAGGAGCAGGATGTGTTCCTTCCACAGCGCGCTAACTTGATTATGTGCTTGGGGAACTGGTGCCAGGTTTACTTCCAGAGAATTCCCTTGTGGACCCCAACTATCACAACAGTTTCTCTTCATTCCAAACCAAGTCATTCTAAACAGAATTCAACCATTTATCTCTACCCCATCTTCCACTTAGCTTGAGGCTTTTTTTTCAATTTTTTTTTACTTGGTGTAGTGACACAAAAAAGTGAACTTCATTCAAAGCGTGGTGCTACAACCTGGAACGATGCCTTCCCGAGAGCAGGTGCAGTACGAGCAGTGCCAGTGGAAGTCCAAACAAAAGCCAAAGTTCCTTCTGAAAAACCTTGTGGGCTCGTAAGGTCATAAACTCACAATATTGTAGCCACTACCAAACACACAGATAATTGGAATTTGTCAACCTGTGGCAGAGAAGGTCCATCTCTGTTCCTAGAAAAGCCATCAGCGGTCTGTCCCTAAACCTGAAAGCTCTTGATGAAGGACGACCTACGCAGTGAGATCCTCCTCTCCCAGCTCTCTGCCTGCAGGTACAGACTGGGAGAGCCCCTTCCTGGAGGAGAAATGTATGCAAACACAAATATTTTCTGCCACGGCAGTTATTTAGAATCACAGAATGGCTTAGGTTGGAAGGGACCTTAGAGATCATCTAATCCAACCTCCCTTAACCAGCCCAGGTTGCTCAAGAGCTCATCCAACCTGGCCTTGAACATCTCCAGGGAGGGGGCAGCCACAATCTCTCTGGGCAATCGGTTCTAGAGTCTTGCCGTCCACAAACTGAAGAATTTCCTCCTCTAGCTCCAAAACAAGTAGAATCAAAAACCAATCATCTCCCAACTGCTAAATCTTACCAACTTTTTTGCAGCGAGATGATGGCAGCTGAGACAGCATACGTGATGCAGGCAAATCTTGGAGAATAAAGGAACTCTCTGAGTGGTAAGAAAAAACTACAAGCCTACATTTTTCTTCTTCCTTCTTAGAAGTATTCTGACAACAGCAGAAAGATGAGCATCACAAAATAGTTGACATTACAATTAAGGGTAGGCTTAAACTTTGGTATTTTTCTAGAAAATTGGTCTTAGAGGCAAAACATTCACCTGCCCCTCATGCTCCCTTAAGATTTACAAAGCCTTACAACAGAGAAACAATTCTACTCAGTATCAGCTGCTGACATTGTACGAACATTTTTTTTAAATAATCCCTACCAGCAAATTCAAAGTATTTTTTAATACTGATATGCTTTTCCTACAAATTACAGCACTTTTTAATATTTTACTTGTGAGAAACAGGTATTACAAACAGCTGTTTATTTTCTAAGTGGGTAATTTGAATCACATATAGTTGGCAAATCCAGACTTTCACAGTCGGACAATCCCTTCAGAATCTGCCTCCCAGAAGAGGAACCCATGGTCCATACTCATTTCCAGAAGCCATTTTAAACTGAACATAAGCAACCCTGGCAAAATATTTCCTAAAAAATAATTAACTTCCTCCCCTAAGTTCCATTTAGCATTAGTGAAATGTTCAGTGAAGTTGATACACATTGGATGTCACTGTTTGGCATGTATTAAAAAAGCAAAAATTGCCCGTGAATTGTTGTGTGGACTTGCACGGCACAAGCCACAAACATTTAAAGTTTTTTTTTAAAAAAAAACAAACAAAAGAACAAAAAAAAAGAGCTTTAAAAGCTAAAAGAAAATTCTGCTCTTGCAGATTTATTTGCACATAAATCACAAATTTTTCATGAAAAGTTTCTCTGCAGTGCAGAGTAAGGTAAATAGTAGTAACTAAAACTTCATAATAATCTGAGTTACAAGGAAAGAACAGGCACAGAAAAAGTTTTTCAGGGAGGAATGTTCAAGGTGCCTCAAGAATAATTTAACCATAAGCTTAACGTGACACATACTTAAGAGAAAACTAGATTTTATCGAAGCAGCAGATCATTTTGTCTTCTCTGCTCCACAATTCCTACCACCTCCCAACACAAATACCGGGCTGTGTTCATCTTGAATCTAATGTCAGTTTTGTACGTGGAAGGCACAAATTTTCAGGATTTTCATATTTCTGATCAAATTTAGATCCATGCAAGACAGAGCTGCCTACCTGTCCTACGGCTCCGTGCACAGCCAAGTGCTACACAAAGAACAGCCCCAGTATCTCCGAAATACCGTAACCCTGAACACGACAACAAAAATGTGCACGGGACTATCAGCTTTAATATCACCTCACTTTCCTTGCTACTCATGGAATTACAGCTCCTTTAATATGCCACATTCATTAATAGAGAATACATGTCTTCATAAGCACTGGGCCTTTTCCACAGGACAGAACGCAATAGCTTGTAAGTATCTGAACTATATTTGCTCCAAAAATTACACAAATATCTCCATATTATGTAACAGTGACTGCCTTGCTTCAAATAAGAGCGCAATCCTTCAGTCCACTGTCAGTTGCATTAATTTAGCTCAAATAAACTGGAAAACAAACCCATGAAACCTACACTGTAAGATGCTGTTTCCACTTTGGACTATTCGTATTGTTGCATTTTTCTGTCTTCTTTGACTGCCCGTCTACCGAGACTTCCACATAAGGGCTAGGTCCAAACCACTTGTTTTTTTCTTTTAGTTTTGCTGAAATAACTGTTAGGAAAGAGAAAAATAATAATTTACTCAGTACGATTTCACTTGCAAATGACATTTTTCCAGTTGTGTGCTTTAGCCATTCAACTATCAGGCCACTGATGTCTCACAGTAATGCTCAAGAAAAGAAAAATAGGTTAGATGGACAAAGATGCTTTTGCATTCCAGATAATTCTATACAACGTTATGGGTCACACAAATGCCTAAAACGTGCAACAGTACTTCTGTAACATCAGACACTGTAATTAATAATAATTGGTGTAAGATCCACAAAAGAGCCTGGGTGTTCAAAGTAGAAAACATCCTCTACAATCTTCTGTCTATCACCAGCCAAGAAAATCCCTGGAGTTTATTACCCTTGCTTGTTAAAAAGCACGTCTCATTAAGGAAGCTCTCATCAAGGAATCATGGAAAACTGCCACTGCTTCTGCTGAAAAGAACATCACTATGAAAAAGAACTTTGTGTTAAGCTTTCTGTATCTAAGTAAACTTCTAGTAAAGCTAACTAAAGACAAACTCTGAGTCCCACTACCTACCTACTGTTCTAGAAACCAGGACAGGACTTGTAGCTCTAGAGCTTTAATGTGGGGAGGTTTGGTTGGTTGGTTTGGAGGTTTTCAGTTTGGTTTTGGGAACTGTGGGTTTTTTTTTAAAAAAAACCCACATTTGATATCATTGACTGGAATGCTCCTGTCTTTTCCAAACACCGTGGCTATGGGGGTCTCAATTTAGCCAAAAAAGCATTGGTCTACTCTAAACTCACAAACCAGTACGTAAGACAAAGGTATTCTCATTTCCAGCTGGCCAGTGAACTCTGCCCGGTTCTAACAAGCAATGACTTGGTCTCCTGTATTTTTGTCACCCACCTCAGCTGCACGACATCCTTAAAAAAAGATGATTAATTCAAGCCCATATGGCTAATCTCCCCAGATTCCCTTTATAGTCTGTGCTCCTTTAGAGATTTAGAGAAGTAGCTTAGTGTAAACTGCTCTGAACTGCTCCCGAGGGAAATTCTTCCTCTCTATAATACAGAAATTAACTTCAGTTAGCTGACGTTAATTTTCACAAACAGTTCCTCTTCCCCTCATGTCTCCAGCACCTCATGCCTCACCATCACCAGGTATCACAAAGGCATCAAGACTTGCTTTGGGGGAGCACAGATCAGCAGTCTTGTACTTATTTTCATGGATCTTTCTTTTGCAGACAACCTGAAAGTTCACCTAAAATTGATGAAGACAGCAGGACAGGGGGGTGAGGGTGGGATAGAAACATCTACCAAAAGGCAGCGCCTGCTTGCATGGGGAACAGTTTGCTTGCACACTGGCTGAGCTTAGAATCATAAACTGCGCTGGCTTGGAAGGCACCTTTATAAAGGTCATCTAGTCCAACCCCTCTGCAGGAGCAGGGACATTTTCAACTAGATGGGGTTGCTCAGAGCCCCATCGAGCCTGACCCTGAACGCCTCCAGGGATGGGGCACCTCTCTGGGCAATCTGTGCCAGGGTCTCACCACCCTCATTGTAAAAAATTCCTTCCTTACATCTAGCCTAAATCTATCCTCTTCATTTAAAAACAGTGCCCCTCGTCCTGTCACAACTCATGCTGCTAAACAGATTGCTTCCATCATTCTTAGAGGTTTCCTCTAAGTACTGAAAGGCTGCAATAAGCTCTCCCCAGAGACATCTCTTTTCCTGGCTTAACAGCCCCAACTCTCAGCCTGTCCTCACCGGAGAGGTGTTCCAGCCCCCTGAGCATCTTTGCGGTCTTGGCTGGACAAGCTCCACCAGGTCTGGGCCCTTCCTGTGCTGAGGATCCCAGAGCTGGTCCTCCACCCCAGAGCAGAGCAGAAGGAGAATGCCCTCCCTCGCCTCGCTGCCTGCGACGCCGCGCAGGCGGTGGCCGGCTTTCTGGGCTGTGGGGGAGCATTGTTGGCTCATGCCCAGCTTTTCATTCTATAAAAAATCATGAACTTCCACAGAAATTAAGAACCGTTCAAACACCTTAATTGTCTCAAGTGTTAAACATTTGAGACATTTCTTTACTTTCACTTTGTATATGCAAGCCGTGGGCCTGTAATGGAGCAGGTCTCAGCCAGCAATCACCCTCAGCTCTGCTCCCCACGGCCACGTGCAGGATGTGTCTCCTTCCCAACCACGCTCCAATATCGACCAGGAGGGACAAGATTTCTCCTGAAGTCTCACGGCCTACTGAGACCTCAGTGTGACTGCTAGAACACCTAACTTACTCAGTTCCAACCTCCTGTCTAGTCTGAACCGTCCCCACCTATTTTTTGACAATTCTTTTCTTCCCCACAATACCAGCTTTGTCAAACTTGTGCATATACCCACGTCTTCCTCGCTGACGGTGCAAAATTTACCCTGAGGCTTCTAAACACAGACCTGTATACACCCACAGATCTCTCATCCCCAGGCTTCAGCTTTTCTGCTTCAGTAAAATCTGGCAGAAAGCAGAAGGAAAACTCGGTAATTAAGTTTCAACAGCTGCTCTGTTGGTGGGCCGCTACAAAAAGCAAAGCACGTCGATGTAGATCCATTCCTGTGCAATCTACACACGCTCAGTGACAATAATGTTTTCACCAATGCTTTTATTAAAGCTTCTTTACAACGGTAAAGAGAGAGAAGGAGTAAGTAAAATTTAACAAACGGCAGGTCAGGTTCCCTTAGCTCCAGACGTGGAGAGACTGTCAGGGGAAAGTGTTGCATTTGGTTATTTTGTCAAGTAACACAGTGCTACGACAATACATTATTGCATTTCAAAGAGGGCTGTTTCTGTACAATTTACTTAGCAGCATTCAAAAAGACTTATTCCTTATTTACACAAAAATGAATAATTTCAAAACACATTTCCTGAAAATACACAAAATCCTGACTAGAAGAGCTAGATTTCTGCTAAGTAATGACGGCATAACGCCATCAGTTTTACCGCGTGGCTTCTCTTGGGTTTTGTACAACTCAAAACTTCTCAGAATGAAACGTATCAGTAACTTCTCTTCGACTGCGGGAAAAAACACTTTCACATTTCTAACCGGAAAAGAAAAATCCTTTCAAAGGGCTTACCAGTGATTTGAAGCTGTGATTTCATGGAAAACCCACTGGATGGTCCTGACCTGGACCCACTGCCAGCCATAATACGGGCTGGATCTTGAATCTGGATGAAGAGACAACGTAAACATTTGAATCCTCAGAAAGTCAAAAATTAACATCATCTGACATGTAGACACGTTACACTGCAAACAAAAGCACCGCACTTGTTTTCTTTCTAGTTCCTTTCCGTTTCCCCAAAGTACAGAAAATGGTTTACACAAGGCTTAGTCTCTACTGTTACATGATCTGTAAATATTCAAGTCCCGGGCAAAAGCGGTCCTTTGATTTCGTCCCTTCGATTTGGCAATTAATTGAGAGTGAACTATGTTCTAACCACAAAGTTTGCTGTACCTCTTATGTCTGAAAATATCTGCAAATTTTGATGTTGCAAGTCCTGGGTAAGAAGCTTATCTTCCCATATCAGGTATTGCTTGTTTGGGTTTTGGGGGGTTTTTTTTTAAAAAAAAAAAAAAAAAAGGAAAATTACAATCCACAAGCAGAGGGGAAAAAATTTAATTATTAAATTAAAAAATTAATTTGCAATTCCGAGAAATCTGTTTCTGTACATCTTTTGTTTTTCCTTGGTCAGATCAAGTCTACAGAGAGCAGCCAGCTTCCACAACACACTTCACTTAAAGAGGAAATATCACTTCTGAACCAGGAGATGAGAATTTACAGCCCAACCTTCCCTCTTACCACATCTCAACCCTCACAGCTGCGCTAGCCTGATCCTCCCACACCAAAGCAAGCCGGTATTTGTGCGGCTGTTTGAGCTTAATTCAATCTCTCTCTGGTTTTGGGGGGCAGGGGGGAGAAAGTGGCCAATGTGCATCGTTCACCTTCAATATTACCAGACAGATATTAAATAGTGTGCTATTATATTAAAAATAGACACCACTTTGGAAGTATTGGAAGTATTGGAAGTATTGGAAGTATTGGAAGTATTGGAAGTATTGGAAGTATTGGAAGTATTGGAAGTATTGGAAGTATTGGAAGTATTGGAAGTATTGGAAGTATTGGAATGTTGGAAGTATTCAAGTATCCCTTCCTCTTAAAATTTTAAAGGACATTTTCAGCTCGACACCCCTTGCCAACTAAAGCAGATACTCATCAGCAAGTCCTCCCCAGCAGATAGATATGTTTGTCCTGGTCTATGCTGGGACAGAGTTTCCTTCTTAGCAGCAGGTGTAGTGCCGTGGTTTGGATTTAATATGAGAATACTGTCGATAACACACTGATGGTTTAGTTGTTCCTTGGCAGCCCTTGGCCCAAGTTAGGGATTTTTCCCTTCCCTGTGCTCTACTGGAGAGGAGGTGCACAAGGAGCTGGAGGGGAGCACGGCCAGGAGAGCTGACCCGGGGCAGCCGGAGGGATATCGGTCTCCATGTGTTGCCTGATCTAGTCGACAGGTGGCACCCCTGGCGGCAGGGAGGCTGGATTAAATGATCTCTAAGGTCCCTTCCAGCTTAGGCCATTCTGTGATTCCGTATTACACACCGTGGATGTCAGGCTCAGGGTATAAACTGGGAGGGGTGGCCATGGGGAGCTGGGACTGGCTGGGCATCGGTCAGCTGGAGGTGATGCACTGCACAGCACTTGTCTGCCTTGGGTTTTATTTCTCTCTTCTTACTTTCCTTTTCCTTACTATAATAATAATAATAATAATGATATTTGATATTGTGTCAATTGTTAAAATGCCCTTATCTCAACCCAAGAGTTTTACTTTTTTTAAAAAACATTTTTACCCCCAATTCTGCTCATCACGCCGCTGGGGACGGGGAGCGAGCAAGCGGCTGCACGGTGCTTAGTTGTCAGTTGGGGTTAAACCAAGACACCACTGGAAAACCAGTGGTACTGCAGATTCCCAGTTGCCTGCTGGATACAACTTCCAGGCTACTTCATTCCTCTCAGGCCGTGTTCCCTCCTCTGCGCCATTTCCTCGCTGCCTTCTGCACTCTGTGATCTACCACAAAACCATTCATCCACCTGCATACCTGATCCCCTTCACCCCAGGCTCCCACCAGTCGCCAAGCTCAGCGGCTCTGGCCGAGAGGTTGGCTAACCAGCGCGCCCAAATCTCCCGGCCCAGCGCTGCATGGCTTGGGTCAGCCACCGAATCTGCATCCCAAAGCAGATCTCGGCTCATTTTCTGCACACAGCGTTGTTTCCAACAGCTTAAGCTGCCGATAGCTGCACCGCGGGTACAGAAGGCTGTATGGATGAACTTACCGACTGGTAACACCCCAAGTGTTCCAAACAAGCGCGTGTCTTACCCTCTTGTCCTGGGTTTGAGCTAAAACCCAGCCCTATTTAGTCATTTTTTACTTTTCAGTTTAGTCTCTTCTAAAAGGCTCTATTTTCTGAAGTCAGCAGCATGTTTGTGCAGACAGTGTGTGCTGCCGGCAGGGATAACACCTGATGTGACAGTCACTGCCTGGCACTGGGATGCAGAAAGGCTCTGGCTGATCCTTATTCCTGCAGTGCCCAAGGCCACTGCTGGCTCTGGGTGCCACGCTGGGGGTGCCGGGTAGTGAGAGGGGGCACAGGGAAGTAAAAGGTGGCACCTCCGGGGGGTAACAGACAGGACAGGTGACCAACGAGAGTGTTCCATCCCATATACGTCATATTTAGTATAAATTGAGTCATCACAAGAGTTTCGGTCTTTTCCTTTTTTGCCCTTTTCTACACTGGCCGGTGTCCAGGCAGGGCTCCATCTGACCTCCTGCTTTTGATCCGATCCCGAGTTCCCGAATCCAGCTCCTGTATCCAGCTCCCGCCTGAGCCTGGGGCTGCCCCAGTGCCTCCTGCTCTGCAGCTCCAGTGGGGATTGATATCGGGGGAGGGACTCGGGTTTGATATTGGGCTATTATCTATAGTTGGATATAGTTCGTTACTTTTATCATTCCACTATTATTTCTATTATTGTTTCATTAAAGCTGTTGTATTTTTTTTTCTTCTCTAACCCCAAAGTCTCTCTGCTTCATTCCCTTTTCCTTCCCATTTGGGGGGGAAAGAGGGGGTTAGAGAGCGTCTGTCCGTGTTAGAGGCCGGCCCAGCCCTAACCCACGACACCTCTGCACGCCCCACAAAACAGAATTTGTAAAAGAGGACTGGATTTGAATATTGCAACTTTCTTTTTATAGGCTGTAATCTGAAGCAAAAGTCTGTACACTGTGGAAAAGATAATTCCACAGATACTTCCGAAGTGGTAAAAATGGGAAGTTCTTGCATCCTGCAGCTTGCTGCTGCTAGTGTTAATTGCCGGAGAACACACCAAAAACCTTGCTTAAATACCATATAATGTCGTTAGTGGAGTTCAGTACTGCTAATTTCTAGGGACCAGATATGAATCACCCGCATCTAAATACTGCTAGAGCAAAAAAGCTTTTAATGGAAGTATTCCAAAAGTACGTCTAAATTTAAAAGATTTAGAGAACCATTCTTAATTTTCGTCCTATGATTAGTTCTACCAGTCTCGCTAGGTAGCCCTTTAAGCCTTATGTGAGCATCTAAAGCACATCACGGACACAGCACGTAGCCTACAGGCAGGTGCTGCTATTTTCTGCCTGCAGAAAAAACGCCCCATATAATACAAATGCAATTACTGAGGGTGATAATTTCCAACTGAAGTCATGCAGTAAGCACACGTGGCATACACCATCCACTTATAAGCACATGTTAAAGCTAACTTTCATTTCTGAGCTGGCAAAATACACTCCTTAAGGCGATTTTATTAGTATTTGATCATTTTCATTGGGAATATGCAGGAAAAATTCTAGTAGCTTAATCACACCTGAAATGACGGCCCTGCAAACATTCGTTGAGTTAGCACAGCGTGCAGGCAGTGAGACAGTTTTCACTAACAACTAGCTTAAGTAAAATTTCAAGAATCTCTTGCCCTTCCAATACTTCAATAAAAACCCCCTACATTACACATTGTTCATTCAGTTCTCTCAGCTGTCATGAAGTTTCTTTCTGAACAGCAAAACCAAAACACCTTCTTACACACGCACTAAAATCCACAGGCTCTTCGCTTAAAGCAAGCTCCATCAGTTAAAAAGCAAGGTGAGCTCCAGAGGAAGAAGCAACAAGCAACAATTTACCTGAGCCCTGCACTGCAATAGCCCTATTTCTCTTTTTACGTCTTCAAATACCTGGCGTCCAGCGCCTCCTCCCCACTCAAGTGCCAGCTGAAACAGATGTGGCAAGCAGGACAGCTGGTTCCAAGCAAGGAATAAACACCGAGCTCACGCTGCGGCTTTACTCTCAGCCGAGCACTCCTGAAGTCTCTTCTCTACCACGCATGTATATTCTCTATCCAGATTTTTCATAAAAACTTTACACTTCCATCTCCATCAATCCCCAGCTGGAATGGGTCAGAAATTAAGACAGTTTGTAGTGGAAGGCACAGGAAAAGAAGAAGAGAGCAGGACAGGATTGGCAGGCTCTCCTGATTTGATAGCGCTGGGGTCTGCAGTCGCTGCCAGGGACGGGGCTGCACAAAGGCTCCGGCTGACACTTGCTCCTGTAGTGACCGAGGTCACTGCTGGGTCTCGTGTGCCCCACGCTGGGGTGCCGGGACGTAAAAGGGTTGTAAGGAAGTAAAAATGTCACACCTGCAGGGAGGAGCGGACAGCACATGTGACCCAAACCGCACGCTAAAGCACATGTGACCCAAATCTGACCAATCAAGTTTTCCATTCCATGAGGGATCGGAGGGGTTAAGGTCTCTCCTCCAACTGCCCCAGGAGGGCTCCATCCCTGCCCTCAGTCCCGACCCCGAGCTCCCAACTCCAGCCCCTGTGCCCAGTCCCCTGCTGAGCCTGGGGCTGCCCCAGTGCCGCCCGCTCTGCAGCATCCCTGGGGATTGCTGTCGGGGGGAGATGGGTTCAATATCGGTTTTTTGTACATATCCTTATTTCCTCATGAGTACTACTATCATTCCATTAAAGCCGTTTTAGTTTTCTTTTCCAATCTGTAAGTCTCTGCCTCATTCCATTCTCTTTCGGGGATGGAGAGGGGTTATTAAAGAGCAACTGTCATTTGTTCAGTGGCCGGC